CGTGCACACGTATGCATGTAGCAGCGGGCGCACACATGTGCACGGGAGGTGTGTGTGCAACGCAGGAGCGGTTGTGCACGTGCAAGTGCGCGCGCACGTATAACCGTGTGGCTGTGCACGCGTGGGCAGCACGGGGGGTGAAACAGCGCTGCGCGTGTGCGCGTGATAGATGTGTAGCAGTGCGGCTGTGCGTTGGAGGAAGGCGTGCGCACGTGTGTCTGCGTGCGGAGCAGAGAGGCCCGGGAGCGGGTGTGCGTGCGGGTGGCTGTGCTTGCACACGTAGGTGTGCGCACGTGTGTGCGTGTGCTTGCAAGCATGCACGTGTGTGCGTGTCTGTGCTTCCAAACATGCACGTGTGTGCATGTGTGTGCATCTGCTTGCAAGCATACACGTGTGTGCGTGCCTGCCTGTGCTTGCAAGCATGCACGTGCATGTGCATACCTGTGCTTGCAAACATGTACGTGTGTGCGTGTGCTTGCAAGCATGCACATGTGTGCCTGTGCTTGCAAACATGAACGTGTGTGCGTGTGTGTGCGTGTGCTTGCAAACACGCATGCGTGCGTGTGTTTGCAAGCAAACACATGTGCGCGTGTATGCGTGTGCTTGCAAACATTCACGTGTGTGTGCATACCTGTGCTTGCAAGTATGCACGTGTGTGCGTGTGCTTGCAAGTATGCATGTGTGTCTGGGTGTGCTTGCAAACATGCATGTGTGTGCGTGTGTGCGTGTGTGTGCGTGTGCTTGCAAACACGCATGCGTGCGTGTGTTTGCAAGCAAACACATGTGCGCGTGTATGCGTGTGCTTGCAAACATTCACGTGTGTGTGCATACCTGTGCTTGCAAGTATGCACGTGTGTGCGTGTGCTTGCAAGTATGCATGTGTGTCTGGGTGTGCTTGCAAACATGCATGTGTGTGCGTGTGCACATCCGTGCACACATGCGCGTGGGCACCCGGGGGGGAGCGTGGCGGGGTGCGCGTGCAGCCTGTGCCCCCTCCCCCGCTAGCGGTGCTCGTCAGCCAGCCCCGGTGCCTCCCTCGCTAATTGGGGGTGACGTGATCTCGTCAGCTCCCCGCCACCTGCCCTCAATCCCCCTTTTTAATTTCCCTAATGGGTCTAAGGCCTGATGACACATCCGGCAGCCGGCCCTACCCCCGCTGTGGGCACCGGCCTGGCCACGTCCCCATCCCCGTGTCCCCAACCCTGTCCTGGGTCCCCATGCGATTGGGTCCCCGTGCAATGGGGGTCCCCATGCCCTGGGGTCCCCGTGCAATGGGAGACCCCGTGCAATGGGAGACTCTGTGCAATGGGGGTCCCTGTGCAATGGGGGTCCCTGTGCAATGGGGTCCCCGTGCAATGGGGGACCATGTGCAATGGGGTCCCTGTGCCGGCATCCTTGTGCCCTGGGGTCGCCGTGCAATGGGAGACCCTGTGCAATGGGGTCCTTGTGCCCAGGGGGTCCCCGTGCCCGGGGGCGCCAGGCTGGGCAGCAAGGCTGGCGCCTGCCCTG